GAATAAACCTATTTTATTATGTAAAACTGTTTTTTTTTTTATCTGAATCACTATAAAGTCTCAGTAAAGCTAACCAAAGAATATTTCAAAATAAGGAAGTCTAATTTTTTAAAATTTTCTAAATTGATAAAATAAAATTGAATTATCCTCAGTGGAGAAAATTAAATGTGTGGAAAATAAGAGTTTTTTGAATGCTCATTGAAGGTGCGGCATGCACTTGGTTTTATGAAAATAACAGAGTTGTTTATACAAGTTAGTATTAATACACTGTCTCAGAACTTTAGACTAAAACATTCTTTTTTTTCATAACTGTGAAAATTAAGGCTAACATAAATCATTATAATACCTAAATATTTTTAACAATTTAACTATCTTTTTTCTTTAAAGTATTAAAAAAAACAAAAGCAAACTAAATCACTGTTATATTACACTAAAGTATGATATTGTAGTTGAATGTATGTGTGCATATATGTACACATTATAATACACTATTTATCAGGGATATGAGAAAAATTTACAAATTGCCAAGAATTCTCAACAAGGTCAATGAGCAGAAAAAAAACTGCTTGGAATGATAAACAAAAATATAAATGGTCAAAAACCAATATAGTATAAAAGAATTAAAATAAGGCAAATTTCAAAACCAGTCATTTACAAATGTATTAGATTTATTTTATCTTAACTTGTTTATTAACTTTCAATTTGAAATGAGAACTCACCAGAGAGGAAATAAAGTGCAATAAAACATTGCTAGATTTTATTTTCCTTCTGTAGTGCTTGTATCCTAACAAATTTTATTTGTTATATTCCCAAAAGAGAATATCTCTAAACCAAGTTACTATTTGTAAGAAAAGTCAAGCAACTGAACAAAAATTACTATTACAGTATTATCTATTTGATCTATTTATCACTTATTATTTAAAAGTATCTTTCCTGATAAAAATCAAGATACAATGAAATTAGAATTCTTTGTAGTATTCTATAAACATGATTTAAGTTCAACCTTTCATAGTATATATGTAGCTTACTTAATGAAACCAATACTTTACATAAATAATTGTCTGCACTTGCATGATGGTCAACTACTATCAATGTATGACTTTTCTTTAAGGTTAAAATTGGTCAAAATTAAACTCTTTTAGTATAATTATAACCTAAAATCTCATAATTTTTATTTTTTATTCCTTCTATGTATTAAAAAATCATTCTTAGAATTTAAAAAATCATTTAGAATCAATTCTCCTACTTCATAAAGCATATACATGGTTTATTAAATAATGTCTTTCTTCATCAGAATAATGAAAATTCACTTGTAAAACTATACTAAATACTGGGAATATTTTTTGCTTACTTTCATTTTAATATGTTATAAATAGTTTGAATGTACAGAAAAGACATGGTATTTTTACTTTCACTAAGGATCTCTCTTAATATTTTGAACAATTATGAAGAAAACAAAAAAATGATTTTTAAATTATTGCCTAATATTATACAGTTTCATGTTTTAATTATTTTGAGCTTTTAAAATAATTTTCATTTGGTATCGCAGATGCTATTTAAATTCTAAGCAACTAAAATAGGAAAAGAAGCAACTTAATAAATTAGAAACAAAAAATAAGTCAGCTAATATTTTCTTGTTCTGTTGCATTTAAAGTGTGACAGTCACCAAGTATAATGACTGATCTATTTCAATGTTTTTCATTATCAGTGTTTTGAGAAATGGAATGCTTAAAATATTAAGGAGCCTTATAAAATTTTCTTTTAACTGTTAATTACTACATTATTAGATTTTCAAAGTTAACTATTTATTGGTTTCATTATTTTTTACTTTGAATGGTATTATATATTTATTTATTCCAATAAATACCAATTTATTTACTTTTTTTTATTTGAAAACTGAAATTGCTGTTTTGTAAGAATAGCACATGCGATTATTTTCCTCTTGTATTTCTCAATAAAAGAAATAAACAAATAAGTACTTCACATCATAACTTAACAAATGAGAAATACTTCTTACCTTGTGTTCAAACTGAGAACTCCACTGGGAAATTGCAGCCAAGCAGTGTGTACTCAGAACATTAATACCTAGAAATGTTGTTAGCCATATATAGAGGCAAATAGTCATGATCACAAACACCACAATAAATAGATTTGTTTCAATGTGCTAAAGAGCTAAACTTATTGGGGTGGGGGATAAGTTAGCAGGGAAATAGGCAAGTGCAAAATTCCAAGAGAAGGCAGGCAGAATAAACATTTTTTTACCATATTAAGCATTCCAAATATGCATCTTTTTTAAATAATTGTATTTTTACATTTTTTTTAATTGACAGTCATGAAAAGATGGATTATATAATTGAAAAATAAATTAAACTACTGATGAATTGTTTTAATTCAAAATAAATTTTGACAGGTGGTATTATAAATTCTGTGTATTTTTCAATGTTTTTGAATCATTTTGTGTAGTTGTAACTTGTTTCCAATTAGCAAAATTTGATTCAACAGAATTTCCTTTTTTGGTCATCATTTTACAAGTGTTAAAGAAGAGTAAACAATAAATATGCACATACACACATACACACAGACACACACACACACACACACATACATACATATATATATATATATATATATATATATATATATATATATATATACAAAAAAATTAGAAAAAAGAAAAATTAATAAAAAAAGCAGCATACAACAGTGCATGTGCAAATTCATCTATTTTAGTGCTTCACCCAAATGGAACAAAGGTTGTAGATGCAAAATGATTAGTTTTGAATTAGATGTTTCTACACATACAACAAACACATTCATGCATCAGTGTCTGTTTCTTGAACAAGAGTAGAGCTCATAACATGGACAAAGTCAAATGTTGTTAATACAGAAGAAAACCCCAATTGAAATTATAAAAGCAACAAAAAACTCACAATATAAACAGATGAGATTAATGGAATACATTTTTTTTTAAAGTTTGCCTATCATACTATTTTTATGATGCTTGTAATCATTTAATAAACAAATTGATCCACACAAATTCATTTATAATGAAAATTATATCAAAAATGAAAATACAACATACTTGGTAAAGCTGTCAAAAAGAAATGAACTCAGTTTTATAATGACATACAATGTAAATGTAATTTGGTTAAAAGTTGAAATAAATAAAATATAATGAATGAAAGTCGACTTCTGAAATTAAAAAAAAAGAATTTATTCTAGGAATCATTTTTTTAAATGAAAAACAACACTAAATTCTCTATACAAATGTGAACATTTTTTTACATTATTGTTTTGAGACAAAAACTGATATGCATGTTTCTATATTAAAATAATTTTCCCTATTAGTGGTGTTATTTTTAAGAATTTGATAAAAGAAAAATATAAAGTGTACAGTTTTCAAATAAAGTTAATTACAAATTAAAATTTTCTAAAATAAATTCATTGAATTGTTTCAGGATAGCAATAGCAGTGGAGATTAAGAATAAGAAATTACTGCCTTATTGCAAATACTAAACTGACCAGTTGAAGAATGAATTTCACATTTTTTAAAGTACCAACAGTTTGGCAATTTGTTTAACCTTGTAAAGGGCAAAGTTATTTTGATGTTTTCAAGTCATATGTTTTAGTAGCTACTGTATTAAGCTCCTAACCATAGATATGCATAACAGTACAAACAAAAGTATTATATACTAATGTACTAATAGATAGAGCCACCACAAGTTATTTCATTCCTCACAATGCAATATTGTAATTCTCAAATAATTAACAACATGAATTTTCTACTGCAGCCATATTTCTAATATTGAACTGACTTTTTGATGCTTTGTTGAAAACAGCTCAAATTAAAGATTAAATTCAAGTAAACATTCAAACCATTTTAAGTAGTGTTGAATCTTGAATTATTTCAGTAAAAATATTATTTTTGACCTTGAAAGAGATGCTGATGAGAGTGCTTCCCATGGTACAGCTATTCAGTGTTTCTGACATACATTTTGAACAATGAATGAGCTAAAGTGATCTCATTAGCATAATTTGTTAGTAGATCTTCCCAGAGTCATTCATAAATGTTAAAAAATGTATTGTGTCTCTTCAAACCAATATTAAAAGCTTATTAACAAATTTAGTCTTCAAAAATTCAAAAGTGAATTTGGTGAGATGTCTTAACATAAAGAAACTGTTCATACTAATTTATAAAGAGCCAAACTTAGTAGATGATGGTTTTGGGGAAGATATGTTTAATATGTTCTGAGTTATTCTGAGTGACCAACAAAATCTTCACAGCAAAAAGTATTACTATCATGAAAATTTATTATTTGCTGGGACAATTTTTCCATATTAATGAACCTGACAATTTAGTAACATATTTAACATTTAGTAGAAATCTGAGAAGGTCAGAATGCTAGGGCAAACAAATCTTGCAAAAGTATATATTACAATACTTAACTGAATGAAAACATTATGAAAAATGTTGAATAAATAATTCAATTCACTTAATGTTATAAAGTTATTTGATATTTTTCAAATAAAAATAAATATCTGATGAATATGGCTACACAAATACACATATCAAAATCTCTCAATATATATAAGAAATAGATTCAATCAAATCTACTTATATATGATCTGATAACAGCACTCACACATTGAACATATATAATGTATTCAGATGCTTTCACATCAAAAATCATATATATATATATATTAATAAATATACATTTTATTAACAGAGTTGTGATACTGGTGAGGAAATAAATGTATATTTATTATTAGTAGAACTTTTAGCTTTGTTATTATACATCAGGCACTATTTTATTAGCACCAGCACTCAATGTGCAATAGTATATATATATATATATATATATATATATATATATATATATATATATATATATATATATATTCCAAAGATATAAATCTGAATGTAAGCAAAAATCACTTCAACATCATGAAGCATAATTATATAAAGTGGCAAATGATAAAACAAAAATGTGAAATACCGGCCAGCGGGATTTCCGTCTGCCTGAACGTCTTCTTCCTGGGCCAAGCCATGTTGGAGCTGAACAGAGAGCCAGGAAGTCAAAACTTGTACTTTGTTGTGAGGGTTCCACTCCATCAATTAAATTTTCTGCATTTGTTTCTGTCTTGTTGTTAGGACTTGCTACAAGAAAAATAAAGAGACCATCAATGCTGATTAATACACAAATACAAAATACAAACAGAAGCACCTATGAAATAAAATAAGATAATTTAAGATTCAAAATTTTTATGATCATCTTTAATACAATTTTTCCCTGAACAATTTCATATTAACATGAAATACTTAATACGACTTCTTACAGCAAACATGCAATGGAGGTATTTATCAGTCATATGGGGACATGACTTTTTATTAAACTAAATAGAAGAGCATTAATTGTATTTTATAGGCTGTTAAAATAGAAACTAAAAAGAATTTTTAAAATAAAGTTTTATAAGTTATCACAAGAAACATTTTTAGTATTATACCTACTTAGGCATGCAGTACAACAAACTATTTTGGCTTGTTTTGATTGCAGTTAAAGCTTTGAATATATATTTTCTTATGAGCGTATAATTTAAATGTAAATCATTTTTTTTGTATATTAGCATATCTTATGAATTTATATACCAGTTACCAATTGCAGACAAATAAAAAGATTAACTGAAAGATAGCAGTAGAATTTAAAAACAGTTTATAGGCTTACTGTAATGAGGTGAAAAGCTCTAAAATATAGAATAAACCATTTATGATATATTAGGGAATAAACTAGTCATTGAAATATCTAATTATAGCTGCAAAGGAATGCTTCCTATAGCCAAATGTTAACTGAGCATGCATTTTAAAGAGGTCATAATCAGAAAATACAGAATGCAGTAGGACATCACCATATGCGGATATACCAACTGCAGTTTCACCTAATCTTGCAGCTGCCCAATCAGAAAAAAACTTTGATGTTCAAAAGTTCTATTAAACTAAACCTTCTTTGCAAAATATATTTCAAAGGAGTCAAATATAAAGAACAAAGACATAGATAATGCAATTTTTGAATAATAATGTTAGCCTTTAATAATATTTTGAAAATATTGAAAAAATTAATCAATTTGAATGTCTAGAAAGTCATCAGAATCTAAGGGAAAAAGCACAAATTAATCATAAAAAATTTAGTTCATTTACTAATGAAATGTTTTTGTTTAATTAATTTAATTTTTATAATTGGTTTGCCTCATAGGTCAAATATATTTCTTTGTGGTTGGAAGAGTTGCAAATAAGCTTATGATGTATCGTAAAAATGGTGCTCACTCCCAAATATTGGTTGAGGTATTGCAGTGTTAAACTTAGTAATAGGATATTTTATTAATAATGGCACCAAAGTGCAAGAGTAATAAGACAATTCTGATATGTCAAAGAGAATCTGTAAAATGCTTCCTTTAAGTGAAAAATTAGAAATTTGATGCTAAAATAGAAAAACATTGTATGCAGAAGTTAAAATGGAAAAAGCACTAAAAGATGAAAGATATGGAAACTTGTTCCAACTTGATACATTAGAAAGCATTGAGCCTATATAAAGATTTTAGCAAGGAATAAAATGCTATTAGTGATGCCAAACTATATGCTGCGAGTAAGACTGGTTATTCAAATCAGGTTTGGACTTAAAAATATAAAAATTACTGGAGAGGCTGCCAATGAAGAAGCTGTTGTCACATTTCTGACAGAGTTGAAGAAATTTGATAAGAAAGGATACAACCAAAAGCAAACCTTCAACTGCAACAAAACTAGGCTTTGGAAGAGGAATACATTCATAAAAATGAAAAGTGAACACTATGGCATTAAATCATAGTAATGGTAATATTAGTTATTTCCTTATGGGGAAACATTTGGAATTCATCAACTAAGAATCCAGTGCTACTTTTAGTTGAAATTTATAAAATCTTTCTATTAAAATACTTTTTCAGAAAAATAGATTTCTCAAGCTCAGTAACTGTTATTGCTCTTTCCAGTACCAATTGGAGCTTCCTTCCTAAATTTTTCTTTGAATAGTGTGGAATTTCAACATCTTGATCATATCATTATTTTCTCTTTGAGTTACATGTTTTAGTTGTTGCTGCTGTTGAAAGTCCTCAAGTGATGTCGTTTCTGTTATCTGGCATAGTTCTTTGTGATTCTATAGCTCGAGTCCATGAGATTCAAAGAAGGATGGTTCTGACTAAAATCTACATGCTTCATTCACTGGAAGCTATTTTGTAATCATTGATCTGAGAAAGTGGTTGTATTCAGTTGAGAGTCTTGATATTTCTGATCAAGTTTGGTGCATTTCCTAGCATCCATATGAAAGCCTGATGTGATGAGACTATTTAAGATCATAAATTGAGTTTTAGGCTAATGTTTTGGCTTGGTAGCAATTTGTGGTGTTGGATGAAACTACCCCTAGTGCAGCCTATTCTTTGTTTCTTATCTCTTATACAAAATTTGTTATAACTGATTTATACACTGATGTATTTGAAGTATTTAGTATTTACTAATTCTGCATCTTGAATTCTTATGATGGATTCAAGGCATATGCCATTACTTCCCTTCATTCCAATTCCAGATTGTAGTTTCTGTTTTGGAAAGGTTTGTCTTGAGTCCTATTTCTTGGAACACTTGGTAAAAGTTTTTTCTCTTTCCACTTTCTAGCAAAAACAAGAAAAACTCATTTCTTTTTTAATTAAATTTTAAAAATGGATGTAGAATTTTAGGTGAAAATTTATGGTCATAGATAATATTTAGGTTTTTAAGCAGCATTCACCATCTGCTTGGAGTCTTGGTGGGGATAAACCCTACTTACAAGATGTCAGCAAAAGGTGTGAAAAATTTGAACATTTTTAAAGGGCTTGATGTGGAGTTGGATTAAGTGAATTTAGTGAATCCACAGTTTTTTCACATCTATGTGATAAGTCCAGACTTTGGTATTAGTTCTTTGATTTTGATTTTTCCTGTCTATGCAGTGGCGTAGCTAGAGTAAACGTCACCCGGGGCGGTCTGCTCAAATGTCACCCCAATGACCCCGATTCACCCTATGCTGAATGGTTAGCTGTAGCTAAATTTTCATACATGCTCTACCTCTGCTTTACTCTACTGACCGGTATGTTACTGTTTACATGTATGATCCAAGACAACATCCAATACCACAAAATAATCAAAAAATAATCAAAAGATTTTTAAAATGCAACTGTTCACTTTCAGAACAACTAAATACAAAACACGGCAATACACAAAAGAATGACATTCGATACTATGGTCTTAGAATGAATGTTTTCTTGTTTTCATTGTGGCAAACTGGTCAATGACATCATCAAAATCTGTTTGTCTTGTAAGTTTGTTTTCAATGGACAGCACAGCCAGATCCGACAGTCTCGATTGGCTCATGGTTGACGTAATTTTCTGTTGCTAATTTTCCGGTGTCCAATTTTCCGTTGCATCATTTTCTGGGTACCATTTAATTATCAATGATGTTTGAAAGTATTTTTCTTGACAAAAATGTTCTATTTAATTTTTAGGCATTTTTCGGAACATTGTAAATCAACTGCATTCTTTTAAAGGTTACCTAGAGAATTTATGCAAAGTTTATTTTTTTGTTTTTCTTTATACAAGTAAAATAAATTTACATCGTATTTTGATGTTATTATGAGTTTAGTTTTAGTGATAATTTAAAAACAATAAATATTTATCATTAGTACCGATAATGGAAAATTAAGTTAAAAATTTAAAAGAATTGTTTTTGGAATCAGAACATAGGCACAAATTTTTCCGATTCTGATATCCCAAAAAGTTACGATTTTTTCCGATTCTCGATTCCGATTCCAATTAATCGTCCCAACACTAGTAGGTATATTCAAAAGTATATCACTCACTCAATGGAAAATAGTATCTCATCGAATTGATACACAGGCAAGACTGAAATTGTTGCACTTTTGGCTTCGTATTTCACTTTGTTGTTATTAATGATGCAGAGTTAAAACACCACATCATCCAATAAAATGTTACAACAATGTCTCTTGTAGATTGTAGCAACTGAAACACATGAAAGCTGAAAACATTGCTATTTTTCCTACTCACAAATTTCCCGACAATTTATTAGAAAATTTCTGACGGGGGTACAAAACTGGGGGGGTCATAAATTATTTCTGGGGGGTCATATGCCCGCCTGCGAAGCCCTGTGTCTCCACCACTGTTTTCAGACTATTTTTGGCACCTTAGCCTGGTTGAAAAATTTTGTTGGGGGTGACATTGTGTCACCCCTCCTGTGCTGGCACCCGGGGCGGTCCGCCCCCCCTCGCCCTACCCCCTAGCTATGCCACTGTGTCTATGAACGGTTAGTGAAAAAAAGTTAAATAAATAAATGAACCAATTGTTTTTTTATCTTATCATAGGCCTAGATTTAATATGAATATAAAATTGTTACTTTTCATAAATTATAAAATAGATAAATAAATTGAAATAATAATTTTAATGCTTTAAGGATATCATATGCATTTCAATTTTTTCTGGAAATATCAAACAGAAATTTAAAAGAAAACTGAAAATTAATATATTTTTTTAAGTGCAGAAACTTTATCTAAAGTCCACAAATAGACATTTTTTTTCAATTTTTCAGTTTACAAGTTTTCATGGTAGTAAAACAATGCAATGTTTTATTTTTTTTTGTTTAGATAGTTTTATTAAGCAAAATAGACTAAGAATTAAAAGTATGATAACATTTATTTCAGTTTTTAAAAGTGAAATTAATTTTATCGGACTTTTAATTCTTAGTCTACAATTTTGTTAATAATAACTTCAACTACGTAAAACAAAATAATTTAAAAAGACATTGTATTTTTTACATTGTTAAAAGAAAAACAAACCATGTTTCTGTTAACATGGCATTTAATTTGTGACTCCTCACTTGTTAGAATTGAAATAAATATTAAAAAAAATGATAAATTATGAATTAAAAGTACAATGTGTTTTTTGTTTTTGTTTTTCTTTTTATATAAAACAGAGGGTATATAAACAAAAACAAGTTATCTTTCTTTTAATATCATAAAAGGTTTTTAAAGTTTTCCTGAGTTAGAAAAAAAGAAGCAATGACTTTGTTTTTGTTACATATCCCCAGTTTTATT